GAACAAAGCTAATAGAAATATAAGGACATACTATAAAAATAAATTTCAATCTTGTCAATAATATATATATAGCAAAGACAGTTTGAAGCCTAATAAATATTACATGTACAAGTAAGAGTAGTGTTTTATTTGATCTTTAANGACATTCCGGCGGCACTGTATATTTGTATTCTGGGTTTGTTTGATTTTGGTTTACTTTCTTCCATTATTTCAAATTTTTTCGTATGGCAAAGAATACTAAAAGAAATGAAGCAATAGGTTGTGGGTCTTATATTTTGTTTAAAGCAACACCATGCAATATGGGAAATTCTATATCTCAATTTCCTGTGGATATATGGTTCATGCATGCAGTTTCCAACCACTTAATAAATTACACGCCGTTTAACTAACCGGCTGTTAGATTGCCATATATACATCAGCATCTTGGTCCATATTAGATACTGGGTTGATTCTCGTCTGTACCCTGTCCTTCAATGCAACCCACATATGCTCAATAGCGTTACTATCAGGGCTCAAAATGCTTGCAACAATTCACCAGGCGAAAACTGTGAGAAAGTCTGCAAATGCGATTTCTCACCTAACACATTTGATATCGCTGAGCATAAGTCGCAGTATGTATAACTGTCACAACATGTTTGTCATCTATTGTCGTTACTTTATGGATACATGTACTACCTCGTTTAGATTATTTCCATTTAAAATAGTTTCGTTATTTCTCAGAATCGAGCAGTCACATAAACAGTTTCGTAAGTGTATTTTATTTTTATTCTGACCGCGTCAACTTTGATGACAACTGTCTCAATGATCATCGCCTTGGTTCAACCAGTGCACTGAAAGATAACGAGCTGATAAACATGCCGTGGAAAGTGTGGTTTATTTTCAAAGCATGACTTGATGTTTTACCTAAAACAGGGGGGATATAGATTAGGGTGTTGTGAATAGTTCGTTTATTGCAGATTTTGTCCGTTTATTTGTTTAAACTAACATTTAAATGGATTTCATTATCTACCCCCCCCCCACAAACACACACGCGTGCGCACACACACTCACACACACACTATCTTGTAGGTCATTTTTTCATTTGCTTTTTATTCTTATTTCATTTTTGTCATATATTTGTCACCTATTTATATGACATGCGTAAGATTATTTTTCTGTAAGCGTGCACATGTGCGTGTGTGTGCGCAAAGAGAGTGATGAGTCCAACCGTATATCAGTGTGTTACTCGTCAGACGAAATCAGTTAAGATGTTGTAAGTTGTTTGACCTGGCCTTTCTCAGTGCCACAACTCTCTCTCTCTCTCTCTCTCTCTCTCTCTCTCTCTCTGTGTGTGTGTTGGGGGGGGGGCATGTATGCTTGTGTGCAGTGAAATAGAGAGAGATTAGATGGATAAGCGGTAAAAGTGATCGCCATTGATCATTGCGATAGCAGGCGACCACGTATCGTCTAGATTGACATAAACCAACACAGCATTCATCACGAGCGATAAACATTCGTTGGTCAAGTGCAATTATCGTAAACCGTAGATTAAAGACGCATTCAGAACAAGCTGCTAGCGGACTAACAGATCCGTGGATCAAATATGGCTGACCATCTTGAAAGCTTGCCGCATAATCCCCTAAAACATTGAATATTAATGTTAGTAAGTGACAGCATGCAGCGAATAAGAGTGGGGTATGTTTTGTAGAGTAACTCTAGTTGATTGACATGCTCTTATGATATTTATACAACTGTGCATAATGTAAACGGGAGAGAAGGCCGCTAGAGATTGCTTGAGGTAGAAATAGAAACAGTAAATAATAAGGCAGATAATATCTGAGTTACATTTGCTACCTCGCGTGACATCTTCGTCACAAATAGATTCCTTGCAGGAATTACGCGATAAGCTTTCAAGAAGGTCAGCCATATTTGATCCACGTATCTGTTAGTGTATGGATCAACTTTGGTTGTGAATACGACCCTAGACAATACCGTCAGATGGAATGTCCGAAGTATTTACACATGATAAACCGAAGTTGACATAGGATCATTTATCAGTTTCAATGGCCGGAGACTCGTTGTCCTGGATAATTGTGAAAATACAATACAATATGGAATATTTCAAAATTAAGGCACGCGTTTTCCTTCTTGTTCTAACAGGTGTTTTCCTTCTTATCTCTCAAATGTTATTCTAGAGAAATTAATAATAATAATAATAATAATAATAATAATAATAATAATACTTCATTCATATTACAACCCAGTGGGCTGAAGTTCTACATTAAATGATAAGAAGATAGTGATAATAATAAAATTTTAAGAAAAATCTCTCCTAAAATTATTGAAGAAAAGTTGCATTCTACACAAACATAAGTGTACTGAAGAATCTTCCATGGAGCAAAGATTTTTTAGGCTGGGGGGGGGGGGACCCGTTGTAAACCAATACTGTCTACGTTTGCTATATTAAGACATGATGAACATCGATGGGGTAGCATGCTTTCCAGAACCTTTTGAAAGTTTCTATTATGCCCCTTTTACCCATGTCGGTGAGGAAGGGTTCGCAGAGAAATTAAATATTTTTAGAAAAACAGGGGAAGGGGGAGCGCACGGCAGGAATTTAACAATAAAAAATTAGCTGGAGGGAACGACCAACCCAGCGACCTTGACGTCAAGATAAAAAAGAAGACATTACTCTGCACAAATTGGTCTATTTATCTAACCCTTAAGGTCCTCGAAATTGAGCAAGCTTTAAGTGTTATCGTCGGTGCAAAAGCCAGATATACACGCTAAGGCAACGAGAGACTGAGCACATGGACTGCTCAAAATTTTATCCACGGAAACAAAATAAACACGCGGACGTTTCAAAATATTTTAAAATAAGACAGAGTGTAAATGGACAGTTTATAAGATTCCAATTTGCGCTAAGGGTAAGGAGGCTAAGGGTCTGTTCCCCAAGCCAAATTCGATCAAATGGCGAGAAACACGGCGCTCAGGACATTTTGCGACGAAAACGGAATTCAATTCATGGCCCACAATTTGCTTGGCTTCGGAAGGGTGGCTGACGGGCTCTTTGAGGAAAACCCAATCATCGGCAGTTTCCCGGTGATGCTGGCAGCGAGAAAATATCGCACCAGCCCAGCGTCCGTTTTGATCAGATTCGCTCTGGATCGGAACATCACCGTCGTCCCCCGGTCGTCCAATCCGTTGCATATTTCTCTGAACAAGCATGCTGCGTATTTAGATATTCCTGACAGTCCAGACATAATGAACAGTCTGGAAGACTTCCCTTACAGACAGTGACATTAAGAAATAAAAACTTTTAAGGGAAATGAAGGTAACAAAAAAAAAAAAAAAATCATCTCCCTCATTCATTAATTTCACTTACATGCATCTACAGTAGGTATACCATACTATTAGATTAATTTTTTTTCATGGATATTCAGAAAAGTATAAGAAGCAGGAAATATAGGAGCAGACGACATGCGGCATGTGGCACAAACCTTCGGAAATCTTTCGCTACAGACAGTGAAATTAAGATATTGTATGGAGATGAAGAGTAAAAAAAAAATCCTCCACTTTTCTTATATCACGCTTTATATGTAGACCTACATGTGATGCTTGTACATGTATCGCGCATTTAATACGTAAAGAGTACCGCTCCAGGAGTAAGACTCGTCAAAAATTATCAGTTATTTCAAACTTTATGCAGATCGATGTATGTCTGAACATTTGATAATAAGAAAGATTAAGTAATTTGTACACTGACAAAATATTAGGCAGACAACTATATAACAGTTATTTATTATTTATTTCCTCTCACTGAGGGGTGTCAGGATAAAAATCATCTTTACTTTAATTTCACACATAAAATCTGCTGGCTGCTCATTTTGTAAAAAAAAATTGAACAAAATAAATGTCTTTCTCTGAACTTCCCGTTAACAATTATAATTTTTAAAAAATCAAAACAACTCGAATGAAGCACAAAAAAGCAATAATTTTATTAAGGCAACTGCGATCAGTATACATCAAACACGACAAAACTTAATTTAAGTATTCACGTTAGAAAATTCATCAACACCTTCTCGACTGGTCTTAATTTGCTCACAATTAATTACAGACAATAAACTTTCGTAGATACTAGTATGTGTAAACACGTTAAGCTTTCAACTAAACCACGAGGCATCCACAGTAAAAAGTCTCCATATATGGCACAATGAAACTTACATTGAGCTGCCGTCATTCATTTCTATAGTACTGCAATTATAAATAATTAATTCTAAATGAAAATCAATGTTTACAACTGACGTTAATGATATTTTACATGCCAAAACTATTTCGAGCGGGAGAAACACACATATATGTTAAAAGCCAATCTCAGTGTCTGATAAGCTGCAGCTACAAGCAACATTTCAACGATTTCTAAAATACATAAGCATCCAATGCCTGATGTCCAAAGTGAACGGAAAACGATAATTTGTAATTCACAGTTATTTAAACATATTTTTTCAGTCATATACAGTGTTAACAGCGTTATATACAATTCAACCGTTAATGCATGGAATGAACTATCGAAGGTCCTATGTGTACATAGATCATGTCACATTTTTTTCAAATATACTTTACAATAAATGATTAATTATTTAAAGAATATGACATTGATTCAAACGTTAAAACTGAAGAGGAAATGGTTGGTGATAAATTAACCCACCTAACTTTTTGCTCTATTGTATAGGGGATGTGTGTGTGATCATTTAATTTTATGCTGTTGCTATCCCCCATCTTTTAACTTAGTATTATATTACATTTCGTCATTTAAATAAATGACAATAACAGTCATATGGACTTATTTCTTATTTGATTTTGAGCAAAAACCGGGCATCTTTGTGCTTTTGGCTATATAAATCAGTTAATTGTTGACATTTGTCGAAATTTCCTCCTTATAAAGCAATGTCAACTTTAAATTTCCCATACATTTGTAAAAATGGTAGTAGATGAATCTTCGAAATCGTTTTTTTTTTTTGTTTTTTTTTTGACAAAAATTCAACATATTTTTTGCATCTGGTTCAAACGTAAAGATTTGCTACATTCTTATTCACATTTTTTGTATAATAAATCATTAAACACAAGCAATATATACATCTCACAATCTTAAGTATGTTGAAGCATATATGAAACATACTACGTTGTTCAAACAAAGCCATTATTATAGTGCTGGTTTCAAGTACTGTGCATAGATCACCCACGGACCTTCATTTTTGGTCCATTCTTTTCAACATTGTCAACTCCATCAGGAGCAGTACAGATACCTGCGGCTGCAATTTGAAGTGCTCAGAGTTGAGATGTACAAGTGATTATTAAAAAACGTTATACGAAGACAGTATTTATACTGCCATGGCAAACGTATCAAAGAAGACATAGAAAAGGATCTTGCTCCCCGGTATTTCGATGTTATCATTTTACTGATGCAGGTATCCCTATGTCAGGCGCAACGGAAGTCAGCTAGGGAAAGGGTTTAACAGCAGGTGACTTAGAACATGGCTGAGTTCTTAGTGGAGATACAGCAGATGGCTTTTTGAAAGTATGTTAAGCAATTTCCCCACACTTCTTCCTGTCCGTTCATTTATATGCTAGTATCTCAGTCACGTGACACGCAAGGTACAGGTATGTTACCATCACGGGATGTAAATGCGATTTTTAGTTCGTATTTCTACGAACTGGGTGCGTGTTTGAAGATAGATTTCAAACACATCTTTGGAGTGTTTGATGCTGTGAAAGTGGTACTTTTGTGCACCATTTCCAACTAAAACTGCATTGTATGCCCCTTTAAAAGTTCTTCGAACAACTTTATTAATGGGTCGTACTCTTTGGGGGAAAGTAAAGGTCTGTCGCACGGCTCACTGCTAACAGACGATCTTGAGCTGTGATTGGATTTTGCAGTTTGGAAGTAAAACTTTTTCTTTGTTTTAAATACAAATTGGGCAATTTGGTGGTTGTGTTTTTCACTTAGCTTCGACTGAACGTGAAGACAAAGGTCATATATTTCCTGGACGACTGGAATTTCATCTACTAAGCACTGAGTGAAGGGGCTAAGAGACACATTACTGCCAGCATAGGCATTGGTACCATCTGAAGTAGAAAGTATTTTAACCATGTCGTAGCCACGGTCAGTTTCGTTTAATTCTTTAAGATGAGCTATGCGCTTCTGGGAGGCATATTGCATTGACATCAGAGCACTTTTTCCTCCGGCAGTTTGACCTCGACATGCGTCTGTTATATATATTTTGAAAGCTGCTTCTGTTTTCCCCAAGCTTAACAAAAGCTTGTCCTCATCAATTTTATCTCCATTGTGACAAAGAAGTTGCGCTACACCGTCCTTTGATATTTCTCCGTGACCCGAAAAATAAAAAAGGACAACTGCATCAGTTTGCCTCCCCCACCCTTTTATCACATCCATGATGTCCTTTTCATTTGCATCTTTTAATACGGTTACCTTGAATGGCAGGTTAAGGGATCTTAAAACCTTGCACATTTCATCTGCATCATTATGGCAGGACGGCAGTCTTCGCGCTGGATCACTAGAATAGTTGTTGCCCACCACTAGGGCCAAACGCTTCTCATGGTACCATTCAGTCTCTGCAGAGGGTCCCAAACTGAGTTCTGGTGAATAAATAACATGTAGAAAACAGTTCAGGAGGTATCACTGATTTATTAACATGAAATTTGCTTCTGGTGCTGGTAAAAAGGACTTAATCTGATTAAATTTGATTTGTGTTGTTTAATGTGATATGATAACTCAAGCGCACCACCACCTCAACTTTGAAACAGGACAGTTTCAATAGTAAACTTTTTTCTCAAGACTTATTGATTATATTTTTGAAAATGAGCTTACCTGGCGGGTCTGAGTCAAGCCCTCCCAACCGATCTCTGATAAGGCCGTAGAACGTGTCTGATGGTTTGCGATTTGTATATTTCCTAAACATTAAAAATACAATATATGCATACAGGTATATACTTGTACACTGTATAAACTCCCCTACCAAAAGAAATGAAATCACCCTACTAGTAGACGCAGAAAGAGAATTATATAACAAACCAATGTTTTTTGTTCCAATATTTAGAACCATTTTTTCACAAAATTTGACAACTAATGAACAAGCTTACCATCGAAAAGCCAAAGTCACATTTAAGTCGCGTCTAAGAGTAAAAAAAACCGTAACGTTTGTGATGGTGTTGGGGTGACATTTGTTAGGGAAGAACATTAAGTTTTCACGTTAACATCTACTTAATTGAAGACCGAAGCTTTTTCATAAATCAATTTTTTTAATTTTCATTCCCAATAAAATCTCAGTAGAGCATAGACATACATCCCCCTTACTTGTGGCAGTCAAGGCACATGAGAATACAATTCTACAGTTAGTGTACATAGAAGTACTTTAAACTTATATATATATATATATATATATATATATATATATATATATATATATATATATATATATATATATTAAACTTATATATAAGTTTAAAGTACTTCTATGTACACTAACTGTAGAATTGTATTCTCATATATATATATATATATATATATATATATATATATATATATATATATATAATGTATTAATTATCTTTTCTGGAAAATAAAGCGTGCGTGCGTTATCTTACCACCCAATGTGATTACCACATCCTGAGCAGTAGATTATTTCCCATTCATATCCCTTGTACCACGTGTAGTAGCTTGTTTTCTTGAAATGCAGTAAGAAACACGTGTTAATATGGTATCTAAATGTTTATTCAAAATTATCAAAAATTGGAGAGGAATGTTTTTAAACTTTAAAAGATTGACATACATCAGATCAGCTACATATGACCCTTTGCTAAAACTTGTCTTTGAAAATACCAAATTTCAGGCGTCAAAAATAACCTGCCTGATTCTTACTGGTGTTATTCCAACACATATTGCAAATAATACAAGGTATTAGAGAGCAGTGTTTTTGAGAAATTCAAAATGAGTGGCAAAGATGAGTGGCAAAGATGATGCTCAAATGAATTCGTAATGCAATTAAGTGTGTATTTCCAATATATGACATATACTCTTGATTTTCTTATCCATTTTCGTGCATACTGACATATTCAAACTTGGTTCATGATAATGGATAAAAAAGTGCCATGTAAGCTGAAGAAAACTATACAAAAACAACTCAAATATGAAACACGCTTTTACATGCAGTGTGGCCTACTTTTAAATCAGATTATGGGCTTTTTTCTATTCTATCTTTTGGTGCATGAAGGCCATTTTCTCCAGAAAAGTTCATGCAAATATGTCTCTTCAAAGTATCTTTATAAAGAGATATCAGTATGCATTATGAAATATAAAGTGACAAAGGGAATATTTGATACAGAAAGAAGTAGGTATGTATATGTCCAGACCGGGTTTGGTAAAGGGTCGTAAAACTTTTTTAGATTATTGCTTTCTTGTAACACGCCCATAAAAACATAATTTGCTATGGACTAAAAATGAAAAAGACAATTATTTGTAGACATTTTCTGTCGTTTTCGTGGCATTATGATCATTCATCAATCTGATACTGAAACCACTGTTATTTAATCCTTATTGTTGTCATAGTTCTAGGAATGGGCCGCGATCTGCATTTGGAAAAAATGGAGAAAGAAGAAAAAAATCGCCAGGATTAAACAGAATATTAATTGCATATAAATATTTGAACTCACTGCTTAATTTGTTATACAGACGTGACATTTAATATGAAATATTCCAGTTTCAAAGATATACCTTGGTCCAAAGGCATTCTTTTTTCAAAATAAATAAATAAATAAAAACCCATATACGATATAAAATATCTGACTAGAGAATGGAAGAGTCAGGCGTGTCGCTACCAATTAACTGACTACCATGTCTGTTGCACTGCTGCTATGTGTAATATGCAGTGATTTGGGTAGTGATCCTTTGGGCTGGTTAAAACTTGGCTTTGGCGAAGCATGGTTCTGTCAAAAAGTATCCATATGCCGGCAACTGCATCTAAGAGTGTGAAATCTTACATGCAAGAGGTCGATTTTGCTATGCGGAAAAGAGTTAAGCAGTGTTTTACAAAATTGTTAATCTATGCCAGAATGGCGCAAAAAAAAAAAAAAAAAAAAAAAAGACAGACAAAGCCCGACAGATTATTGTGTCATACGGAATCGTCAACGCAGTTTTAAAGAGTTATCCCTAGACTGATGTACCTACACAGAGTTTACAACCAATGTATCAAAAATTTACTACCAGGGCACAGGACTCACTGTCCTTCCGGATGTGCTGCTGCAACTAAACAAAAATCACCCAGTCCGTTTAGAATGAGGGGCCAATTGTCACCAAAACGCGTTTTTCAAAATATTCCATATTGAATGTCAAGTCTGTATATTCAGTGACGACGAGTAGAAAAATGTAATTACAGTACATAATAAGGATACAAAAGATGACATACCCCGCCAGCCGCTCTGTAATTTATGCATTCTGACACTGGCACAATGAGAAAATAGTATTCTGAAATTGAAAAATAAAATAATTTCCATATTGCACTACACCCAAATTATTAAAAAAATATATAACTTAACATAACATGTTCCAAATAATTTTTCAACGTAGGGGAGGAATATACCATTACATAACAACAACAACAACAACAACAACAACAACAGCAACAGCAATAACAATAATAAAAGCAAGATTGCTCTTCTGTTACGTTATTTTATTGATATGTATAATGATTTTCAAATCATGATTATAATTCAACGCACCAAACGTATTTGAAATACCCCAATTTCGGATTTGTCAATTATCCTTATAGTGCCATATTTTTGTTTTGCACAGACTTCGGTGCTGGCCGTTTCACATTGGTTTTTTATTAATACTCACCACCGGGGTTCGATACCCTTTCCAACCTCATGCCATGGACTCCAGCAATTGCTATCCTTTCACTCGAATCCCGTTCACCTTTTCTTCGGGTGACATTTCGCTCCTGGAGGTGCATTGCCTTAGCAAGCAGGATGTTGCATTCAGCACACCAAATGGCGGCTAAGTAAACAAAATTTCGAATGTGAGTGCTTTCTCGCTTTATCTATATATCTCAAATAATTCACTGCCACCCAGCCGCAATATATACCTTGAATATCTCTCAATCTAACTGTGGTGATTTTTTTCTGACACTTCTTGCTACTTAATAAGAAACAAGTAAAATATTTGATTCTCTCTCTCTCTCTCTCTCTCTCTCTCTCTCTCATGTTTGCTTTATGTTTATTACTTTAACCGTTTAATTTGACGTGCATTTCATTAACATGTGCGTTTATGGAATGGTGTACAGTGGCAATTATGGACTTTACACAGATACAACAAACCTTCCTGATGAGGCCCTTGTAGCTTCTTGATCACAAGTCCAAAGAAATACTGCTGGCCCTTTATGAATTTCCTAGTAAAAGAAAATCTGTCTTCAGCAATCTTGATATTTTGACCTATACATTACGTAGCTAGGCACTGTTTGATGTTTCTGAAGGGAATATTGCTTCTACATGTATACTTTAAAGGAAATACCCAACTACACGTATTGAAAAACAGATTAAAAATGTTGCAAAAAATTTCTGAGAACAATAATGTAAAAGCTTTGAAGCAAAGAGATCCCATTTATCTTCCACTCCTTAATTCAAGGTGTTAAATATTTCCATATGGGACTGCAAATAAATTAAAACGCAATAACGAACATAGAGAAACAATCCTAAACAGGTCAAAAACACTTTAAAGCAGATTGTTTATCACATATCACCATGTGCTCGCTGGATGAGCGGGCAGCTTGACATACCATCCTAGAAACTGTCTGCAGTCTTTGCAGTACGCTATAGACCAACTGTACCCTTTAAACCACGGATAAGTATCCAACACCTACAATGCAAATATAGTTCAAAGCTGATAGGGAATGGGAAGTTCTCAATGCATTCGTTTATGAACAGGTTAGGTTACCTTGTGTGGGGAAATGTAGAAAAAATGCAACGGATGGGTGATAGGGAATTTTAGATTGCATGATGTTTGTTTTATGTATTTTAATTATTGTCAATTAATGATAGCGTGATTGTCCGTAATAGTAAACAAGATGCTGGTAGCTTTTTCCCCTGTACCAGTATGAAAAGAAATTATTAAAGAGATAATTGCATTGTACATGCATTTCAAGAGAAAGAATGAACCGCTGAGCATATTTGTGAAGGGGGACTGTTTTACTTGTTTAAATAATCACTTATACTTATTTTATAATAATAATAATAATAATAATAATAATAATAATAGTAAGTAGAGAGCATACCTCTTGGTTGTCCCAATCAACTGTTGCGCTTTTCACCCTCACAATCACGTGTAGATAATCTGAAATATAGGACAATAAAGGCCCCCTTATAGACATGCTTGGAATCCTATAGGACGTCCTATAGGAACTTTCCGTAAATGACAGCTTATGCTCATTTCATTAATATTGAGAAAAACATTATTTGAAGGCATGATGTAATCCAATTTTGTATTTCATATTGGTCAATTTTTTGCTTTGCTCTCTATGAATCAATGTTTTTTACACCTAGATAAGAATAATACACATGCATTTATTACTAGGACATCAACTGAATTTGATGGAGGTCATAGACATGCGAATCGTTTTCTCGAAACTCACTTGATGGGTTTTTGAAACCCCACGTTTTGACTGGTTTACCAAACAAGCGATATTGTTTTTTTGCAGAAAAACCCTGTTGAATGCTGTCGTCACCGTTGATGATTTCTGTTGCATGAGAAATAAATGCCCCACACTCGCACTTTATATGCCCTAGGTACAAATAGAAAAAAATACAGGTTGTGATATATGGTAACAAATCAGACTTCTTAATTGAGAAATACCATAAAACACTAATGATTTGAACGCTGACGATTTCTATATTACGCGCAACTTCCAAGATGGATCATATTTTTAACATGCACGCAAGTAGATTTAACAAAACTTTGCACATACAAAACAGGCATGGAAAAAGGGAATACGATTGTTATTATATACATGTTACATTTATTACCCTTATCATCAGGCGGGGTTTCGTCCTCAGAAATACTTGACGAATCATATACTGTTGCCTTCTTCATGATTGCTAGTTTCTCATGATTGCCAGTCTCTCAGGTATGTAAAGCAAAGGGCTACCGGACGGACTGAAAATAAGACTTGGTTCTGGGTAGAACAAATGTATAAATGACGTGCAACAGGACAGAAAATATACAGTGCCCTGGGGTATTAATGTTCTTTGTAAACATACACATTGCCTAATGCACCATTTATGTTTAAGTGACTTATAACTATATACTCCAATTATAAAACAATAATTGTCATTCGTTATACTCAGGTGAGACGCCTAAGGTAAAATGAGTTACTTACAAATATTATCCCTAAATAAAATATCCAACTGAAAAATAATACACTCGTAGAGCACATACCTCCTCCTCAATCCTAGGTATTATTAACCATGCATTAATTAACAATTCAATAGATTAATTAATTTGCCCAATCCCCATTATAGTTAATATTTAATAAATTAATCGACGGAAAGATGGGCAGATGTCTAAAAGAAACACCATCTCTCTTGCAGATGTAATAGTGCTTGTGAAGTTAACTCAAGAGAAGGCCAACGTGCTGTAAAATCGTGTCTTTAAATGACAGAATGCTTCCTGATAAGAAATACGTGCACGGGCTCAAATCTGCTTCGATTAGGGAGTTAATTAACAATTTTTGAAACATGCTTCTAACATGATGCTAATCTACTGCATTAATGCTCCTCTCTGTACAAACATATGTATTTTTTGGAGTAGAATTGCAGTAGGCTATACTGCATTTCTACTGCAAATATGCTCCACGCCATTACTGCGTTAATGCTTCTTTGCTACTTCGATAATACTGCATTTTCGTGCAACCAGTCCACCCTCCCCCATCCCTCGACAGGCGAGACGCCTCTATCGTGCCAATCACGAAATGCCCTTTTAGGGCACCTTATGTAGATCGGTATTTATAAAGCTCATACTATGTAGGTGAGACACACCTTCCTATCAGACACGATTTTTCCTCATAATAAAGGCGAGAAGCCTAACACACTCTAAAAGTCGCTTTCAACTCTGCAAGGGGCGCTGTCAAAACACACGTCCTCGGAGGCCCAGCTCTGAATCGTGTTATTTTGGTAAAGTGGAATCTAACTAGGACACGAGCCGACCGTCCCCCACACTACAGTATCGAATTTCTACTGAATCTAAATCTTTCAGTGAGTTCTTGCTAAGTTGCTCCATCAAAATCAAATAAATCTCGACTGAAATTTCTGTCTCTTCTAAGTTTCAAAGGTATATATCTGTGAGGATTTCTAGCAAACCGGTGTTTAAGGAATTTAAACTACCTCCCTCGAGAGTAAAAATTTAACCAACCGTTAAGATTTAACCATTGGTCAGTGCTAAACGACGTTTATGAAACCCAGTTAAACGTCGTTTAAGTTAAACGCTGGATTTATCCGGTGGTTAGTGCTAAACGTCCTTTAAGAAACCGGGCCCAGGTGGTTTAAAAACACTATAAAAGGCATACCAGTCAGTTTTTAATAACGCAGTTTTCCCGATGTCTTGTTGGTATAAGAACATTATCATCAGAAATAAACTTGTTTGTATCCCTTATTACGGAGCATAAACACACTAAGCGAAAGAGAAAGAAACATTTTTTCTTTGCCCAGCAAATGCCCAATTTTACAGCCGACGTTTTATGAATGTGAAAAATTGATTAACTAATGTTTCTAAGCGATGGCGTGAGAATCTTTAGATTTCAGAATACAAAACATTCCCCCATGTTCAAACGGTTGCAAAACACTGAAAATTTCCCCTGTGTTAAAAAATTTTCATTTTTTAATTTCATCTAAAATATAACTGGATCAATTCAGTGCTAATGTAGAAAAAGACCCTATTTCCAATGGATATGATGCTTCTATTGTGAGAAGATCAATGTGTTGTTGTCGTTCTTAAATGTTTTCCTTTAGATCATAAAATAATGCATGAAACAAAGATAAATTATCTGGGCAATCTGGCGGAAGATGTCTTAATAAATGATATTAAAATTGAGAGAGTGACATCCGTTGTCTTTTTAGCTGTAAAAATCGGCTATGGTTTGAGCTGCTTGGAGCACATTCACGTATGTAATTTAACAAGCCAAAGACTTTACTATTAAAAACCGTTGGCAAGAGAAGGGTTTTCTGTTAGTGAACTTTAACGCCTCTTCATGTCAGGGATAAGATTTGCACTTAAGAGCATATACATTCATATACATACATGTACTTGTACCGATACATTCAATATCATGAGGCACTTACATTTCTAATAGTGTTACACTTCCCCGCAGAAGGGATAAGAGAACTAATGTTTTTGATTTATTATCCTGCACGCGGGCATTGAGGTATTTATGGTTGATTTCACCCAGCATAACATACCAGGCTTAAAAATCTTACAAAGCTAATACTGATTTTATAAGACCTCAATTGTAATAAAGCACTCCAGTCATATCGAGGTTTGGTGTATTGTTTGTTATTCAATTGTTAATCTAACAAATATCTTCACAGAGACCTAAATGATAACTCTTTTGTGGAATGTTTACTTTTACAACGTAAATCTCTAGATATTGTTTTAGTGAAGAATAACGACGGTATGGAGCTTTCGAACGTTAATTCACCGACTGCTTTTTTCATACAATTTCACATGTATTTTTACTCTAATTCTCCGTATTGATCCGTGTAATTATGTTATTTTCATTGTTTATGCCGTGATTTCCAAGAAACTTTCCATTCTCCTGTTGACTTTACCATGGACTTATTAGGCAATGTCTAAGAGCCTTTTGAACTAAAATTATCAAAAATACTTTTTGAATTACTGATACTTGAATCATACCAAAAACTAAGTTATCATGTGATAAACAGATGATCGAAATTAAAATCTATTATGGAATTTTAAAACTATTCATATTAACTGTTACTGACTTTGACCTTTTCCATCTTTTTCTGACACTAAAAACAGGTTCTACACTTGCTGACTCTTGATGAAAATTAACTTACACTCAATAGCCCCCTATCCTTTTACTCGGTTGATTCCGTTTTAATTATTATCTGCAATTATTGAAAGAGTAAGTCATTTGCTTTACAACATACACCCTTTCTTCAAAAGATTTTGTCCTCGGATTCTAAAACTTTACAACAACATGGAAAGATATTTTCATTTTTTTTTTCAAAAGATGTTTAAGCTACTTGTACTCGGTGCAATGAAATTTCAACAAAAGTCATTTTGTTTTGATACACAAAAAATACATCTTGCTTACTTATACTTATATTAAATCTATGGTAGTATTTACTATGTTAGCAATACACTGCTATGCACGGTGGTATCCTAAATAGAATGATTCACACTGTCAGTTTCCGTAAAACTGCGGGCATTACACTATCTTGAGTGATATTTTTCACTCACTACAGCAACAAAATTCATTCTTATCAATTTCATTTGTGCGTAATTCAATGAAACTGAATATTCAGCAATTTTGCTTAATTTACAACTATAAACCATCTGAATAAAAAGCAGGTGGTTTTAAAAACACTCCAATAAAAGGCATATCAATCAGTTTTTTCCCCAATGACTTGTTGGTTTAAGTACATTATCATCAAAAATAAACTAACAGTAAGCATTGTTTGTACCCCTTACTACGGAGCATAAACACGCTAAGCGAAAGAGAAAGTAACATTTTCTCTTTGCCCAGCAAATACCCAATTTTACAGCCAACGTTTTATAAATGTGAAAAATTCACTAATTTCTGTTTCTAAGCGATGTCGTGAGGAACTTTATATTTCAGAATGCAAAACAGTAACAACTTGCGGTGTTTCTGTGTCTTTGAATTAAAACAGTCTTGGTTAATATTTCGTGCAAAAATGTCAACCTTAATAACTGACTAGACCTAATAAAACCATTCGAAAAAGTTACCGATACTGATCTTCAGTATGGAAATCGACGGCTGTTTTATACCTACTTGGTGACACTGGAAATTTCCCCTATGTTCAAACGGTTGCAAAACAACGGAAATTTCCACTGTGTTCAAACTGTTGCACCTCACTGAAAATCTCCCCTTTTAAAAACATTTACATTACTTAATTTCATCTAAAATATTATTGGATCAATTCAGTGCCGATGTAGAAAAGACCCTATTTTCAATGGATATGTTTACTCTACTGTGAAAAAAATGAATGTACTGGTGTCGTTTTTAAATGCTTTTCTTTATATTTCTATATAGGTAACCAAAATAAATTGACAGGGTAATCTGGCGGAAGATTTCTATTATTATGAGCACTATTGGCAAGAGCAAGGGCTTCTGTCAGTGAACTCTAACGCCTCTTCATATAAGAAATAGATTCTGCACTGAAATTCGTCTGCCATAACAAAGCGACAAGATTAATATATACAAAAAAACGTATATATTCATATACCTGAACTGATACATTCAAAGTCACGAGGCACTGACAATTTCTAACAGAGTCACATTTACCCGAAGAAGGGAAGAGCTATTACTCACATATTATTACCTAAGACCATGTTATTGCCCAACATTATAAAATACACCATCTACTGCTTAAGACCAATAAAATCTTACCGTTTTCTCTACGGCTAACTAATTTACTAATTTACTTTTACAAAATTAAGAACTATATCACCTCTTCGTAGATATTCAAACCATGGACACTGAATATTTTTAAAAACTTAACGAATCTTAGTGTGTTTTTACATGATCCTAATGTGTTTTAAATATTCGTAGAGTATCAAATGTTTAATTTCACCATAAAACTTTTAAAAACATTTTAATCCTATTCTCATTCAATGGATCAAACTTTATTTTCCTGTACAATCCAACTTTTTTGTTGAAAATAAACAGTATCATTTATCACAATAGAGGTAATCAATGAATTTGATTTGTGATTATGCGCGAGGGCATTGAGGTATTCATGGTTGATTTAACCTAGCATAACATACCACATTATACTCCCACCAGGCTTAAAAATCTTACAAAGCTAATACTGATTTTATAAGACCTCAATTGTAATAAAGCACTCCAGTCGTATCGAGGTTTGGTGTTTTGTTTGTTATTCCATTGTCAATCAAACAAATATCTTCAGAGATAAATGATAAGTATTTTGTGGAATGTTTACTTTCACAGCTGTTGTTCTGTACCGTCGTTTGCCATCGTTAATCTCTAAAATAGGATAAGAAATGTTCCCTTTTTTGGCAAAAGATGTTTAAGTTACAAGTACTCTGAACAATGAAATTTCAATAACCATAGTTTGTATCCTAAATAGAATGATTCTCAAACAGTCTCTGTAAAACAGAGGGCATAACACTCTCCTGAGTGAGTTTTTTACTAACTATAGCAACAAGGTTTGTGGTTGTCAATTTCAAATCGTTATTTGTGTAGTTCAATGGGACTGAATATTCAATCGTTTCGCTAACATTATAACTTGATATGAACCATCTGAATAAAAAGAAAAATATATCCGATACAAGGCATTCAAATCAATTTTAATTACCCATTTTACCCCGATATCTTGTTGGTTTAAGCACATTATCATCGGAAATAAACTCAAAGTAAGCTTTGTTTGCACCCATAACTATGGAGTATAACCACGTTATATAGGCCACAGTGACAGTGAACTTTCTCTTCGAGCAGTAAATGCCCAATTTTACAGTTGACGTTTTATAAATGTGAGAAGTGATTAATTTACGTTTCTATGCGATGTCGTGAGAATCTTTACATTTCAGAATACAATACATTAACAAGTTACAGCATTTCTGTGTCTTCAGAAATAAAACAGACTTGGTTAATGTTTCGTAATTTTTCATGCAAAAATGACAACCGTAATAACTGGCAATATATTTGACTAGAACTAATAAAACCATTAAAAACAGTTACCTATTCTGATCTTCGGTCCTGAGGTTGATCATAGAGACAGCGGACAAAGTTGGACCGGACCTCCTCTCGGTTTTGCTCAGCTCATTACCCGCACTGTGTGCACGAGTTTGGCATTAGACACCGGACGGCTGTTTTATACCTACTTGGTGACACTGGAAATTTCCCCTATGTTCAAACGGTTGCAAAACACCGGAAATTTCCACTGTGCTTAAACTGTTGCACTACACTGAAAATTTCCCCTGTGTTCAAACACTTTCATTTTTTAATTTCATCTAAAATATAACTGGATCAATTCAGTGCCGATGTAGAAAAAGACCCTATTTCCAATGGATATGATGCTTTTATTGTGAGAAGATCAATATGTTGGTGTCGTTCTTAAATGTTTTCTTTTAGGTCATAATACAATGCATGAAACAAAGATAAATTAACAGGGAAATCTAGTGGAAGATGTCTTAATTGAAAGTGATAATATAAACAATGACTTAAAAACTGAATGTGACACTTTAAAATATGCACTGGAAAATGAAACCAATATTCGTAGATTTGGAAACTCCAAAAAATAGCTTCCCAACTACAACTGCATTTCTCATTTTCATCTTTAAAGTTAACGAATTAACAATAAATGCAGGCAAAGCCAGGGAAATAATGTTACATTTTTGGCCATAATGCAACACCTATAGTAATAAATGATATTAAAATTTAGAGAGTGATATCCGTTGTCTTTTTAGGTGTAAAAATGGCAATGATTTAAGCTGCTTAGAGCATATTCCACATACACATGTATGTAAATTAACAAGCCATATATTATACTGTTTTATACCTACTTGGTGACGCTGGAAATTCCCCATATGTTCAAACGGTTGCAAGACACTGAAAATTTCCCATTTTCAAACGGTTTCATATTTTCCAATCCAATTATTAGTGGACCGATTCAATGCCGATGTAAAAAAAGTCCCTATTTCCAATGGATATGACGCCTCTATTGTGAGACGATGAATGTGCGTGGCTTTGTTTTATGTTTCAGTAATTCCATTGTTAATAAAACAAATGTCTTCACACAGAGTTACATTATTATTATTTTGTGGAATGTTTACTTTCACAGCTGTTGTTCTGTACCGTCGTTTGCCAACGTAAATCTCTAAAATAGGATAAGAAGTTTTTCCTTTTTTTTTCGGAAAAGATGCTTAAGTTACCAGTATAAAAAATTCACTTTGCTTATCTGTAGGAAAGATACATTACATGTATGGTTGTATTGACAGTCGTCGTTTTATAAATGTGAAAATATTTTACTAATTTCTGCTTCTAAGCGATGTCATGAAGATATTTATATTTCAGAATACAAAACAGTAACAACTTATGGTGTTTCTGTGTCTTTGAATAAAAACAGATTTTGTTAACATTTTGTGCAAAAATGTTAACCTGAATTACTAGCTGGACCTAATAAAACCATTAAAAACAGTTACCGATACTGATCTTCAGTATGGAAATCGACGGCTGTTTTATACCTACTTGGTGACACTGGAAATTTCCCCTATGTTCAAACGGTTGCAAAACAACGGAAATTTCCACTGTGTTCAAACTGTTGCACCACATTTTTTTAACATTTTCACTTTTAATTTCATCTAAAATATTAGTGGATCAATTCAGTGCCGATGTAGAAAAAGACCCTATTTTCAATGGACATGTTGACTCTATACTGTGAAAAAAATGAATGTACTGGTGTCGTTCGTAAACGTTTTTCTTTAGATCATTAAAGAATGCGTGAAACCAAGATAAATTAACAGGGCAATCTGGAGGAATAATTCTATTATTATGAGCAATGGATCACCACCTCACCTAAAACGTAAAACAATAACCTCCATGGCGGAGTAATAATTATTATGATGTTAGTTCAACAGAACGCCAACGACTGTAAATTGGAGGGGGTTTAAATACGTGTAACAGTCTGGGGGAACTGCTTCCTGATTTGCGCACAAAAGAGGGAATTAATGAAACCCTTGACTCACATAAATTTTATCCACATATTAATTTGCATTACTTTGTGCAAGGCCTTTGGAGTATTTATTGTTGAAGCATAGAATACCACATTAGAATACCTCTACACCTATTATTGATTTTATCGGGCATTCTTATTCGTAATGAACTGCTCCAGCTAAAGTGTCGCTTCATGATTCATTTGTTTAGTATTCTATTGTTATCGATGCAAATACCTTCAAATACCCCAGTCAAATCATGGCGTGATGTTTTTTGTTATTTCATTGTTACTCAGACAAATACTTTCGCACAGAGTTAAATACTTACTCTGTTACGGAATGTTTAATTTCACTAGTTTTTTGTACATATAAGTCCACAAAATATTGCAACACAATGTTAATCAATGTTTATGCCTTTATATTTGTAAAGCAATTAAACTGAATAGCAGTTTTGCTCACTTTATAGCTAGATATAAACCATTCAGATAAAAAGCAAATAAACTCTTACGCATTTACAAGGCATATCAATCAGTTTGCGCAACTTAGAAATTTTACCAGAAGTGTTGTTATTATTATTCGCATTATTTGCAATTCTATTTACGGAAATATAAACACGCTAAGTCAGAGAAAAAGTTTGTCATTTTTCTGTTTGTCCAATGAAACCCCTCCATAAATCGTAGACATTCGATAAATATGAAACATTTAGAGTCATATTTCTGAGCGATGGCTTAAGGGTCTATATATTTCTCAATACAAGTTACGACAAGGCTGCTTCCTTTAAACAGCGATGGTTTATATTATGCACGCTCTATTTCTATAGGAGTACAACGGTAGCCCAAATGACCAGCTATAATAAAACAGCTGCGGCCATTGTTTGGACGAACCTTCTCTCGATTTTGCTGAGCTCATTGTGTGCACTGTGTGCAACAACTGTGACGTCGGTTGGAAACGCGACTACTGTTTTACACCTGCTCTATGATATAAAAAAATCCCCCTAGTTTTCGAGCTGTTTACATTACGTCGAAAATATAGATTTAACAGTTCACTCTCGATGTAAAACATCTCTATATCCAATGCCGCCTCTAACAGGAGGGGGAGATTTGAATTTCTGAAATGTGTTGATGTTGTAAATAATATTTTAGCAAAGAAAGTGGATAACCAAGGTATATCATAAAAGTACACTGTGACGCAATATGTCTTAAAATAGAAGCGCAGATATGATACGGGTGACACGTGACACGCATAATGACACTCAAACCTGCATTATGTATAGCTTGTCAGAAAGACCAAAAAAGGGCTCATATATCCTAGTATGTTAAAACCTTGCGAGGTATTAACCAAATCAATACATTTTATATAAACAGGAAATGAAATAAATTAATAATGAAAAACGTGTGTAATTTGATCACTGAGTCACACGACAACAGCATCAAACAATGTCCTTGAGAGTGTCAACTTCTAAGTACAATCATAATTTGGACTTAATATAGCCAGTGACCCTTAAATTCCCTTTACATTTTTATGCCTGGAATGAATGAAATTATAATTTGTAATCATTTATATTTATTTCATGTGCATTTGGCTACTCCCATGGATAACGAGAAACACGGGCGTCACCGTTCAGGTATTATCGATACCGGTTTTCAAGTGAAAACCACGGAATTTTGATGCAATTATTCGATTTTGTTCCAGATTTCCCACCTAACACATTAAACTTAAGCTTTCAGAGCATATGTCACAGTGGGCGCCTCTCAAATGTCACTTCATGCTGGTCATCCGCAGATAATCTTTTTTAGGGCGACAACACCGTTTAGATTCTTTCCATTCAATAGTGTTCCATTACATCGTGAATCTGCTCAAAATCAAGCAGTTACATGACCAATTTCATAAATGCATTTTATTTTTAATTCTGACCGCGTCAACTTTGACTACAACTGTCTCAGTGACTGTCGTCTTGGTTCAACCAGTGCACTGAAAGATAAGGAGCTGTTAAACACGCCGTATAAAGTATGGTCTATTTTTACTTAAAACGGGGGAGGGGGGGGGGTTGATAAAGGTGGGATCGGGAGGATGGATTGGCATGAAGTGAATAGTTCGTTTATTAATTTTATCCGTTTATTTGTTTAAGCCAAGATTAAAATGGTTTTCATTGTTATGCCCCCCCCCAAAAAAAAAACCACACATACACACACGCGCGCACGCACACACACACACATTACTTATTTCGTTTTATATTCTTATTTTATTCTTTGTGATCTTTTTATATGGCTTGCGTGAGAATATTTGCTGTAAGCGTGCACATGTGCGTGTGTGTGCGCAAAGAGAGTGATGAGTCCAGCCGTATATCAGTGTGTTACTCGTCAGACGAAATTCAGTTAAGATGCTGTAAGTTGTTTGGCCTGGCCTTTCTCATTGCCACAACTCTCTCTCTCTTTCTCTCTCTCTCTCTCTCAAAGTATGTCTGTGTGTGTGTGTTTGGAGGGGGCATGTATGCTTGTGTGTAGTGAAATAGAGAGAGATTAGATGGATAAGCGGGAAAGGTGATTGTCAGTGATCACTGCGATTGCAGGCGATCACGTATCGTCCAGATTGACATAAGTCAACACAGCATTCATCACGAGTGCTAGACATGCGTTGGTCAAGTACAATTATCGTAAACCGTAGATTAAGGGCGCATTCAGAACAAGTTGCTTGCGGACTAACTGTTCCGTGGATCAAATATGGCTGACCATCTTGAAAGCTTGCCGCATAATCCCCTAAAAACATTGAATATTAATGTTAGTAAGTGACAGCATGCAGCGAATAAGAGTGTAGAGTAACTCTTGTTGATTGACATGCTCTTATGATATTTATACAACTGTGCATAATGTAAACGGGGGAGAAGGCCGCTAGAGATTGCTTGAGGTAGAAATAGAAACAGTAAATAATAAGGCAGATAATATCTGAGTTGCATTTGCTACCTCGCGTGACATCTTCGTCACAAATAGATTCCTTGCAGGAATTACGCGGTAAGCTTTCTAGAAGGTCAGCCATATTTGATCCACGTAACGTAACTGTTAGTCCTCGGATCAACTCTGGTTGTGAATACGACCCTAGACAATACCGTCTGATGGAATGTC